GTTGTGGGTTCTTTGTCTGAATCCGGGGTAAGGGCCCACGACGCCCGTAGTTCGGAGGCGAGATAGTGCGGGCGATGTTCGGAGCGTGGAGGGAAAACTGCCGATTTGTTGTCGATGGCGCAATTCCAGCGGTGACTCCCCACACGACGGGCTAACGCAGCCGTGCACAAGTCTTTGATGCCGTGTTGTGACACTCTTGACCTCTGCACTCGTACACCCGAACCGAAGCCCTCTGACATTTAGACTGCTTCGCTTCTGATCTTGCTTTGCCCTACATCGAACGGTTTCGTCATCGCCTCAACGCGACACCTGGAACCCGTGCAGCCCCGCCACCCGGCTTCAATCAAGCCGGTAACGCGGACGCAGAACCACCGCAATGGCTGGAGAGAGCTCCAAAAAGACCAATGCCGCTGGCAAGGCAGCCGTCCCGCTCGACCTCGACGGCCACAACCTCCCGCCATCGCCCGCGCCCAGCTCGCCCCGTAATGGCCGCAAGTATGCCCTCATGACGGAGCTGGTCTACACGGAGAGCAGCGACCAGTACAATGCCAGCTCTGTGCCCATCTACCAGGTATGCGACACTCGAATCTCGCTCGGGTAGCAGGTGGCGGCCAAAAGGCTAACATGCGCAGTCCGCGACATTCAAGCAGGAGTCCGCGACCGGAGGCGGCGGCGAGTACGACTACACACGATCCGGCAACCCTACGCGAACACATCTCGAGCGTCACCTTGCCAAGATCATGAACGCCAACCGCGCGCTTGTCGTCTCGTCTGGCATGGGCGCTCTCGACGTCATCACCCGCCTGCTACGACCGGGCGACGAAGTCGTGACCGGCGACGATCTGTACGGCGGAACAAACAGACTGCTCAAGTACCTCTCGACACATGGCGGCATCATCGTGCACCACGTGGACACCACAAACCCAGAGAAAGTACGCGAAGTAGTGAGCAACAAGACGGCCATGGTGCTCCTCGAGACGCCCACGAACCCTCTGATAAAGATCTGCGATATCCCCGCCATTGCTAGCATCGCCCACGCCGCGAACCCTACCGCCGTGGTCGCTGTCGACAACACTATGATGTCGCCCATGTTGCTCAACCCGCTCGATCTCGGTTCCGACATCGTCTACGAATCCGGCACAAAGTACCTGTCCGGTCACCACGATCTCATGGCAGGTGTCATTGCCATCAACGACTCCGCGCTCGGAGATCGCCTCTTTTTCACCATCAATGCCTCAGGATGTGGTCTCTCGCCTTTCGATTCCTGGTTGCTACTGCGCGGTATCAAGACCCTTGGTGTCCGCATGGAGAAGCAACAAGCAAATGCCATGCGTGTTGCCACGTTCCTTGAGTCCCACGGCTTCAAGGTCCGCTACCCCGGTCTCAAGTCGCACCCACAGTACGATTTGCATTGGAGCATGGCACGCGGCGCTGGCGCAGTGCTGTCCTTCGAGACTGGCGATGTCAACATTAGTGAGCGCATTGTAGAGAGCGCAAGGCTATGGGGTATCAGTGTCAGCTTTGGCTGCGTCAACTCCCTCATCAGCATGCCGTGCCGTATGAGCCACGCTAGCATTGACGAAAAGACCAGAAAGGAAAGGAACATGCCTGAAGACATCATCCGATTGTGCGTTGGCATTGAGGATCCTGAGGATCTTCTGGATGATTTGAGCCGCGCTGTGAGTCCTGTCCCTCTAGAGAAAGGCTTCCGTTTAGTTGCTAACATGTGTACAGCTCGTGCAAGCTGGTGCTGTAAACATCACAACCGATGGCTTCCGTGCTCTGGCGACAGAGGCTCCCGCCACGACCCAGTCTACAGACTCTGCTCCGGCTCCAGCAGAGTCGTAGGTACCCGTCTCTTTTAGTCACCGCTGTCCTGCGTGCCATAGCAGGTTTAACGTGATACCTTTGATCCGCATGTTGAAAGACACATGTCGGTTTTACTTCACAACTTTCTCTGACCCAGTCACCTCTGTCATTTGCCTTACAATACAAGGCAGTATTAACGTGATATTCGTCCAATTACATTAGATCAGCATAGCACATGCGTTGCTAGCGGGAGTTCTTGCGGAATAAAAAGATCTCTTTGTCCTTCAATGAACATATACATCGATCAGTGCGCCTGTGATCTCTGTGACTTGGTGCGGCTCCGAATTAACCCGGCGTGTGCTTACTCTACTGACTCTAGTCGATGTATCGGCATGTTGCTGACATCGAACTCTACGGTCCGACGATTTGTGCCAAGCATGACGCCACGTACCTATGGAAGATCCGGAGCCCCGTGCCTTTATACATCAGCGCACACTAGCCATCCTATCACTTGGTACTTGAGCATCACAACCCTTAGTCTGTCCAGTCATCCAAGCACTTTCGATCTTTTGCATTACAGCTGCTGGTCCTACGACTTCCTTGCGCTCATCCTAAACGCGCCTCAGACATAGTCTCCCCTGCTATCGCAAGGTGTACCTGCACTTCTGAAACAGCCTCAGGCACGCCATCAGACTCGCCGTCACAGAAGAAAGGAAACGATCACACAACCCTGGTATTACCCCAGACTTCGGATTCGGTCACATTTTGGCCTGGGGTGGCAAGCGAGGCTTTATCTCATTGGAGATAATGTCGCGTCACCTTTCCTACATCTCCAGCAGCTTCAAAATATTTAGGACACTGTGGTAGTAATTGCAAGCCTTGGTTCATGATGGTACAGCTCTTAGACTTGCCCCGCGAATTGCGCGATGCTATATACACAGAGCTGCTTCTATCATGCCGACCGCGTCCATCGTTAGAGGATACCAGATCAGACACCGGATGGTGCCGCATACAGGAGCCTGAATCGCCTTTCTCACTTGGCTGTCTAATCGCATCACAGAGGAGACCGCCTACATGTGCTAGCTTCCTGGCGTGCAACCGCCAAGTGAATGAGGAGATGATGCAAATTATCCAGAGAACGAGGCGGAAAGGGCTGCTTGCTGCATGCATGGATTGTTTTGAAGTTTCCGGCACATATCATTTTACGTGGCTTTCTGCGCCGCTCGTCACAACAAAAAGAAAGGATCTTCGGAGGGAGCAAGACGACGGGAACGCGTCATTTACTAATGTCTTGTCGAGCTGGGCATCATTCCTTCTTGCTCCCATCACAAGTCACCTTACAGGCCTGGGTAGCAGAGTACCCGTATCCAAGGCATACACGACGACCATCGAGCGGCTGTGGGTGGACATCAGAATATCTGAGCCGAATGTAACAGCTGAGCTTGCTCCTTACAACCGCACAGCTTGGGAAGTGTGTGCAGCGCTCAGGCACATATTTGAGCACGGCCCGGACCCCATCTCTAAGAGTCGAAAAATCGCTTCTATTGACGAAGTCGTCCTCAACGTGCTACCTCAAGGAACTCGACATGGTACACCTCTCATGTACAGATCAAGATCACTGTCGACGACATTGATACAAGAATTCCCTAAGAATTGGACAGATGTAATACGTGACCAGTTGGTCAATATCTGGGCCAAACTCTGGGCTGCAAATGACTTCAACACGGTGGATTACCAGGCACGATACTATCGCATGCTGCTAGAGAAGATCAACAAAGTGCGCGTCTGCGTTGATGGAAAGACATTCAAGACAAGAGAATTGGCCATCGAGTTGGAAAGAGGGAGAGCGGAAATGAGGCGGATTGCGAGGAGGTAGCCAGCCATCGAAATAGTCAAGGGCTTTCCTTCCTTTCCTGGTCAAAGTGACTCGAAGCGGTGAGAACGAGCGGCCGGAGATGAAGCGACTGGGTGAAGGCTCTGTGCGCTTTCGATGTGTCTAGAAGTACAATCCATGAAGCAAAACCCGTTCTGTGGATTTGTGTAAATGCACATACATCGTACCTGACATACCTGACACATGCTTTGGGCGGGTTCATCAGCGCATGGGTCTCTAAGAGGCAAAAAGCAAGCTACCTAGGTATGCTCGCGGTTCCGCGTCGCTACGGGTGCGGCGTAATGGCTAGCTTGCCACGGCCTCGTCGCATGCCAATGTGCCAAATTGCACGCCCGAGCAGTGTTCCCGATGCTCTAGAAATTGCTGACGAGGCTTTTTCACGTTGAATCGTTCGCGAGCACGCCCATTGGTGCGATGCTGTCAGGGGTAATCTTAGCCTCGGTTCGGCACGCCCTAGTCTAGACCTGCCAGCCGGGCTTCGACGTGAACATTTCCTGACACAAAGGTCTTGTCGATCGAACACGAAGAGCCCGCACCAGCATGCCCTCTTCATGCGAGAACCTTTACGCCAGCAATAGCCTATGGAGATCGCTATCGATAGCGCCCCGCACACGCGCGACTACAGTCGGACGATAGGTACCCAAGTAAGGCAGACCATCGCTGACTACACCAACGTTCAATACGTCCAGTGGCGTGCTTGGCACGGCGAGATACGTTTCGTGAAACAGGGCTCCGCGTGTCGCCCCTTGCTGCTTCAAGCTGCGCCCCTGCCGTCATTCGTCGCCATCCTCAACTTTACGAAGAGACTCCACTGCACCCCACACTCGGATTGGCCAGACCGTCGCCCATCTGGCTCAGGGGCACAATGTGCCAGACGGCCCCTGCATGCCAACGTGTGTCGCGGATCGCATGTTAGACCATGATAGCGCTGCCAAAGGTGCGGGAGCGAATCCCCGTGGGCGCCATGGGTTTGCGAGGATTTTTTTGTGCGAAGGTGCAGATACGCGTGTTTTATATTTAAACATTGGGTGGGAGATCTTTACTCCTGACGGGAGTGGTTTGTCTTCGCTTACCTTCATTACTCACATTACCTCACCTACCTCTTGCTTTTATCACACTCTTTCCCCATCTTCTTTAGCATTCCTTGCTTTCGGTCTCTACAAAAGATACACCAGCTCTCCATCTACATCACTCGCTCACTCGCATTGACCATATCCTGTCCTTTCAAGAGCATTCTGCTTAACGCCACTTCAACTGCTGGACGGTTGCTACACTGAATCAGATACTTACGGACAAGATGGCGGCGTCTAATGCTTCGACTACGAAGACGCTTCGCCCAGATAATATTGAGATACCACCACCTTCATCGAGTGGCACGAACAAGCCAGCAGAGGAGTTTGAGGGCCCCATATCACCGCGGTCATGGCGACACCGTACTGTTACGTACCAGGTTCCCTCGAGAAGGGTAACCAACGGCAGCTTAGATGCTGAAGACTACTTTGTAGGTTTCTCTCCAGTATGATAGCCGATAGCCTTGCATCTTACTAACAATCAACAGATCGGTCCTCGTGACATGTCCAAGCACAGCAAATGGCCATACTTCATGCGAATGCACGGCTCGGTCTTTCCTAAGATGATATTACCACTCACAGTAGTAACTCTCTGGTCGACCCTCATCACATGCGTCTCTGAATTCATTTTCGAGCTCAAAGTCAGCACTCTTCTTTTGACCGTTCTTGGTTTCGTCGTTGGTCTTGCCATTTCTTTCCGAACAAGCACCGCATACGAGCGTTACACCGAGGGCCGAAAGTACTGGAGTCAGTTGATCTTCGTTAGCCAAAACTTGGCAAGGACAATCTGGTACCACACTTCCGAACGCGAAGGCGACCTCGGAAAGGAAGATCTTCTCAACAAGCTCTCTGCACTCAACCTTCTCAACGCCTTTGCCTGCTCTGTCAAGCACAGGCTCCGTTTTGAGCCTGGTATCGACTACCCCGATCTCCGCGACCGCATTGAGTACCTGGACACTTTTGCCCGCGCTGCTGAGCTCGATATCCCCAAGCCAGGCGACAAGAAGAAGATCAAGGCTGTTGGTGAATACCTCGGCGTCACATTCGCCGAGTCGAACCCCCGCAAGAGGATCAAGCGCTCCAAGAAGCCTCTCGGTAACCTGTCTCTCGAAATCCTGAACCATCTCTCCTGCTACGTCCACAGCATCATCGACAACGAAACGCTCAAGGTCGGTCTTTACCAGAACCAAGCCATTACCGGTGTTGTTCAGCTCAACGAGGCCCTCACTGGTATGGATCGTGTTCTCCAGACTCCTTTGCCTATCGCCTACTCCATCGCCATCTCGCAAATCACCTGGGTCTACGTTATGATGTTGCCTTTCCAACTGTGGGATGACCTTCGCTGGATCACCATTCCCGGTTGCATCTTCGCCGCCTACATCATGTAAGTTTCAAACAATCCACTTCCCATGATCAACGCTAACAATCTCTAGCATCGGTCTCTCAGCCATCGGTCGCGAAATCGAGAACCCCTTCGGTCACGACGTCAACGATCTTCCCCTCGAAGCCTACTGCGAAGAACTCGAAATGGACATCGACACCATCACCGCGCAACCACCTCCCGCCGCCGCCGAATTCATGCGCCGCCCAGGTAACATGCCCATCTGGCCGCTCAGCCAGAAGAACTTCGAGTCCTGGGCCGGAAGGAGCAAGCAGGACATCCGCGATGCGCTAATGACAAAGACAAAAGCGGATATGGCGGTGCGCAAGAGCTTTGCTGTTGCGAGGGAGAGTGAGAGCGAGGAGAAGGGACATCACGGGTTGCAGCAGCAGCATGATGCGTAGAAGGAAAAGCAGTGGAGTTGTGCATTCGCATTTTAGAAGCGTTGGGCGCTGGATAGGTGTTTATGGGTGTGTTCTTTCATCTTCCACCCAGGCTGTGCTTTTGATCTTAACAAAACGGGTTTCATATCCTGCATAGCGAGGATTTTATACGTGGCAATACTAGCCTTTATTATACTGTGTTCCTGTTTTCTCAAGTCGAGTGCCTATCTGAATGGTGATCTTTGTCTTCGAGGTGCGGACTACCGAGCCATGAACCCGTATATTTTCATTGCTCCGAATTTGATACTATCGTCGTCAGATTAACTCAGTTGGTCAGCTATTGGTAACCTAGATATGGTGTTGAATGAGCGCTGTTGACTGTGGACAGACTGATGGACTATTGCAAGGAGCATGGAGATCATTTCTCCGCCGATGTGGAAATTTGAGATGGCTGCAACAAAGAGATCATATGGTTGGTATCAGATGAGTATGCGTCTGCAACCCATGTGTAGTTCTTGTGGTGTTGGTCGTGGAAGCGACGACGATGGCACTCACAAAGCATCGTTCCACCCCCAGGCTAGCGCGTGATGGCGCTTGGGCGTATGACGTCGCACCTACCCTACGCTTCACATCTGACGCTTGGGACGACTGCTCACATGCGGCCCAGGCCATCATTCATCCAAACGGCCCGTCTGCGTCAGGCGTGAACTAATGCACCCCTCTTACTTTGCGGGTCTGATATGCCTAGACCTGCTAGCATCTGGCGTTTCTTTCACACTCTACAGCTGAGCTGAACTTGGCCAAACCTCACCCAGGCAACATCTTCAATGTCTGCAAACACAATGCCGGACCCACCGGCTACATCAGTGTCCGTACAGACAACCGCGACAGAGATTCCAACCATCATCGAACCAGAAGCAGACGCAGAAGAGCGTGGCCGGCTCAAGCGACGTAGGCAGTCGTCACAGCATTCTCCACGCCGTGCATCCTCACCATCTCGCGGCCACGATCGCAACAGCGGTTCCCGATACCGAGAGCATCACCGCAAACATCACCGCCCCTCGTCTCCGACGTCTTCCGTCTCTCCGCCTACATCCGACCAGAAGAAGACCAGACGGCGCAGTGATGCTGAGCCCGATCATACATTCAGGGGGCGAGCACGCAATAGGAGCAGCAGCAGGGGAAGGTCTAGGAGCCCCATCTTGGAAGCCGACGATGCATGTGTCGAGAGCGAGGATGATGTAAAGAGATTCAGGAAGAGGAGTGCGCCGCCCAGTCGGCACAGGATTGACGACTCGGACGAGGGGGGTGAGGTTCGGCGGCAGAGAAGCTACCCCAATCTATACAAAGAGGACAGGAGGGATTCCAAGGGCGAGGCTGGAGGGAAGACACAAGGAGTGGGTTTCGTGAACTCGACAGGAGAAACCGAAGCGGTGCCCCACTAGGTGGACTAGCGTCCTGATTTGTTATGGCCTGTGTACTCAGGACATATTCTTACAGAAGAGGTTCACTATGATACTCTGATGCATGTTGATTATGTACGAATGGCATTACTATTCTGTGGTTGCGTTTGTCTGGCTCCGGCTGTCTTGTTACTGACCACAGCACGCGACAACTGTCCCAGGGTCTCGCTTGCATGATCGTAGCGTGGCTGTGCACGCGACTCAAACGTGGCGCCTACAACGCGCCTGCATCATGCTATCGTGCTCGATGCTTGCTGCCCCTACGATGACTGCCGAGATCTTTTCTGCAGGTACAGCATAGATCGCATCCGAAGACTCCGGACTGCTCACCTCAGCATCGTATCCATCGTCTCGAAGGTTCCATCGCGAGGCGCAACAAAAAGCGCCCCACCCCCGCGGCCCTACCAATCATTGAAGCTTAACTCCGCCCTCACTCCCGTCGATTAACCTTCAGCCTTACCCCCTCCGTCGCTCGCTCACTTACCCCGTTATGCCTCCGCCAGGCAACGAATATGCCGCCGAGCAGCTGAAGAACTCGGGCAACAAGTGCTTCAAGAATGGCGACTACGAAGGAGCCGAGGGGCTGTATTCGCAGGCGATTCAGAAGAACTCCGCCAACCCTCTGTTGTTCACCAACCGCGCAAATGCGAGGCTAAAGTTGGAGAAATGGGAAGGAGTCATAGATGATTGTATACGGAGTATCGAGCTCCTGAAGGACAATATGAAGGCATTCTTTTACTTGGGTATGCCCCCATTCCCTACAGAGGGGCGTCGATCGCGACAGTCGCCATATAACCATTGCGCGAGCTCTGCACGTCAAATCCCAGGCTGATGATAATATAGCGCAAGCTCAACTCGCGATTAATCATCCCAACGAAGCCCTATCTTCAGCCCTCATGGCCTACGAACTATGTACCACCTCCGCGCAACAAACCTCCAACGCAGCCACTATATCCGCTCTCGTTTTGAAATGCAAGAAAGCCAAATGGGACATCCGCGAGCGAGAAAGGATACGGCGGCGTGGCGATCTGCTCTCCGACCTTGAAATGATGCTGGAAACAGAATTCAAGAAGGACATGGATGAGATAGAAGCACGTATGGAGACCGGGGAAACCAGTCGCTCGGACGGACAGGAAGAGAAAGCAGAGCGAAAGACAGAGTTCGAGAAGAAGCGTGACGACCTCAGAACTGCATTCGCGATTTCTGACCCGGAGCATCAGCAGAAACGCGAGGTCCCGGATTACCTCGTCGATGGCATAACGTTTGAGATTATGCACGACCCGGTCGTGACTAAGAATGGAAGATCGTACGAGCGCGCTACCCTGATTGAGCACCTCAAACGCAGTCCAACAGACCCGCTGACGAGAGAGACTCTTACCATCAACGAGCTGAGACCAAACATCGCCCTCAAGGAGGCATGTGAAGAGTTCATGACCGCAAATTCTGGGTGGGTCTATGATTGGTAGGTTTGCGAGACTTCATTGGTCCGCTTTGTATTATGGCAGGTACGTGGAGAGGAGGAATAAAGAGAGCCTAGGAGCGTGGAGGATGTGCGCTGACAGTATTGTAGTGAGGAGGGTGAGGTAGATTCGGATGCGCGCTGGGCGCACTTATCTTCAGCTTGAGGTCGACCCCACAATCAATGTGCGCGGACGATTATCATATCTGCATCGGCTGGCGTTTGTTGTTGGAAATGTCGTCTTTTGTGCCTGCACACGCATCATCAGCGAGTATTGAGCGTTGTTGAAGCGGTCGTATTTCGATACCCACAGCCACATGTATTCCTTCCTTTTCTCTTCTGACATTTTGACGACACATTCCTGAAACTACGTTTTTGGAACCACATTCTTGAAACCACATTCCTGATGCCACATTCCTGATGGGACACTTGCTGTGGAAAAGGAATGGTACGCGTTCTACCAAGAACCTCGGCACACCAGTTCCACGAAAGCGCTGACGCCCAGAATTCCAGGGCGCTCCTTTTCCAACACTGATGTTCAGTTGGACTTGCAGCGCTCAAGCGTCTAGCTCGGATGGTCGATCTCGAAGACGGGCCTCGCTTACGTGGGCCCAACGTTGGCCTGCTAAGCTCCACACTACTTTGTAGCAACCTCGGCAGCCTGCAGCCTATGATCGCTGGCTGCCTTGACTACACTAAGTTGGCTTCTAACCCAAATTGTGAAGCCGTAGTTGCGTCACATACGCTAGGAAAGCTTCAATGGGGCGTAAAGCACATGTGGCAACCGGTCAGGATCTCGTATTTCGACTAGTCTCGGGCGCACGATGATGGGGTACACCGATGTAAGATAAAAGACGGGTTAAGGTGGGGAGTTGAGATACTCCGCAGCTTGTGATCTAATAACTGAACAGCTCGATCATCAACAACTATTCTTTCGCCTTGCTTGCACCTATCGCGACACATGATGGATACAACACGCCCCGCTCCCTGGCCACAGGCCACTAACGAACTTCTTCCAAACACACTGTTCAAACTCGCGGCTCGATATCCTTCCGCGACGTACGCAGAGTTTCCGGTAAACCCGCACAAGATTGAGGATGGATATCGTAAGATCACGTTTGCTGAAGTAGCAAATGCTGTCTCTGCTTTCGCGTGGTGGCTGGAAGAGAACATCGGGAAGCTGCAAGAAGAGGAAAAAGATGGAACACGAACTTTGGTGTACATGGGACCGAACGACATACGATATGCGGTATTATGTCTGGGAAGTGTGATTGCGGGATACAAGGTAAGTCGTCTTCCGACATGAGTGTCTTGAAAGTGGCTGAATTGACTAATGACGAGAATAGATGCTCTTTCCATCGCCAAGATACGGAGCTGAAGCACTGGTCAAATTGATTGAGAGTGTGGACGAAAAGGCCATGCTAAAGTCTGAGATTCCGATACCAGTTGTCAAAGACGTTCTGTCAATGAAGGATATGAAGACCCTCCAGATACCGAGTGTTGAGCAACTGCTCACCTCAAAAGCGGAGCCGTATCCTTACAACAAGACCTATCAACAAAATTCCCGCGAACCTTTTGTTTGTCTCCGTACGTACGCTCGCTCCCGCCTGACCATGCTACCTCTAACCAAACGCAGATACATCCGGCACAACGGGCTTTCCCAAACCCATCCTTTGGACACACGAGTGGACTAACAGTGTAGCCCAAACCATGTATCTCACCGCACCACCAGGTTACGAACTAGAGCAAGAGCTTCTCTACGGATCAGCGAACGGGCGAGGCATGCGCGCAATGTTTCTCTTCCCGCCTTTCCACGCCAGCGGTATGATCGGTATGATCCTCTTTCCACTGCAGCTTGGTGTAACACCAATTTACCCGCCGACATGGATGACACCAGCTGCGGGTGTGGACAGCGCACTAGCCGCTTTGGACATCATCGCCGCAAGGGATGGAGGCGTCGGTGTCGATTGCCTGACACTCGTGCCACCCTGTGTCGAGTATCTGAGCAAAAGCCCAGAAGTCCTACAGAGACTCAGCCAGAGAACGCAACAAATCGGCTGGGGTGGCGGCAGTGTGAGTAGTCATGCGAGTGAGTTCGTCGCAGCGCAGGTGTCTGTGTTGAATGTTATGGCATCGACCGAACTCGGCGTCTGGCCCAGTATTCGTCGCAAAGATGCAAACTCAGTGCAATCTGCGTACTGGGAGTATACGACACTTCACCCCGCTCTCAATATCCGCTTCGACCCTGTTTCTGCTTCCACGGACGGTGTCACTCTATATGAAGCTGTCATGCACCGCAACGACGGGAACGAGCACGGCGGCTATGTACAACCCATCTTCTCCATCTTCCCAGACGCAAAAGAAAGGCGGCTTGGCGATTTGTTTACAAAGCATCCCGAAGATCCTGAGCGATGGAAACACTACGGCCGGGCTGATGATCTTCTCGTCTTTCTGACGAACGAGAAGTTCTTCCCTACGGCGGCAGAACAGAGGATAGCAAGTCATACTTCGGTTGCGGAGGTAGCAATGGTAGGGACGAGAAGACCTAAAGCCTCGTTGATTGTTAGGTTGGCAGATGGGAAGGATTTGCATGAGATCTGGGATACGGTAGAGGAAGTGAACAAGAGCTCGCCGGTTTATGCGCGCGTGGGAAAGGACATGATACTGGCTGTAAAAGAGCCGTTCCCAAAGACGGCGAAGGGAACAGTGCAGAAAAAAGCTTTGCTAGATTTGTATGAGAAGGAGCTGGACGTCTTGTACGGAAGTGGCAGTGCCTAGGCGCATGCGGCCTGCACATAGAACTAAATACTCAAGTTCAAGCATTACCGCTCAGCTGCTGTTTCCAACCTGCCGGGCAGGTACCGGTGCAAGCTAACCCACTGTCACTGTTCATATTGGAACAAAGTATTTTCGCCGTACCACCATTTTTCGGCCTGATATCGATGTTCTTGAACTTCAAGCCCGTGCAAGGTGTTGGTTAGGATCCTATCACGTGATTCACCCACGCTAGCACTAGCGTCGCCCTAGTATTATTTATACAGGGCTTCCTCCCTCTTCTATAGAACAATCACATCTCTTCTTGTTCTACAGGTTATAAGCCCCTGCGCTACTGCGCGCGATTCAGCTACCACTCTACTCTGCGTCACAGTCGCGCAATAAGGATTTCTCCAGCGTCACTATCGCGCGACCAAGTCATCAGACCCTTCAGCGCACTAACCGCCACAAATTTAAACCCTCTCCCCCCCGTGTCCTACACTTGCTCATCTACCACGATGTCTACTATCAACAGCGTTACCGCCGCCTTAGGTAAGGATTTCGAGAAGCTCACTAGCCCCGACAACTATCACGAGTGGACCAAGGCTTTCATCGACATTTGCTTTATCCATAGATACATGGCGCACTACAACGGTACTGTCGACAACCCTGAGAAGCCTAATCTTCCCTCCTATGTCGCCCCCCGGGTTACACGCTCCAGGTCTAATATCGACTTGCGCACCGCTGTACCAGTTCCTATCTCGACTAACGCTGCAAACGAGCTTGCCGTCTACGACCGCGCTCTCCAGAAGTAGGAAAAGCACGACAAGGCTATGCGCTCTGCTATCGCCCTCCTTCGTGCCTCTGTCGAGCCATGGATTTAGCGTGAACTCAACAAGGAGGACACTCTTAACCCTCACCTTGCGTACAGTGCTATCCAGCTCAACAACAAGGCTTCCAAGAACATCTTAGTAGACCGCGCCCTAACTAAGCTCAACAACATTACTATAACTGACCCTGCGGCCATCAGGCCTCTTCTTGCTCAGTATAAGGGCCTGTACTACGACCTCAATAACGCTGGCGGAACTATGTCGCGCAACCAACTCATCAACAAGATCAACGGAGTTCTTCCTCGCCAGTATAACCCTTTCCTGAACCATTAGAAGCTTAACCACTATGGTACTCTCATCACCGCCGACGTCTTCAGGACCTACAAGACCCTCCTCTTCAACTACCGTGACGACAACAAGGACAAGTGGACCATTCCAAAGGACAAGCACCCTCGCGAAGATCCTGCCACTAACCGGCGCAACACCCGCCCCGTCAACAACGTCCCTAACAAGTCTAACTCACCTACGTGCTCGCACTGCGGCAACGTTGGTCACTCCGTCGACACCTGCCGTTATGTAGGTAAACCCGACACACCTACATGCACCTTCTGCAAGAAGCTAGGTCACGTCAAGGCTACTTGTCGCAAGAAGGCTCGTAAGGATGCTCCGTCTGCCCCCGCTTCCAACGCAGACCTCGCCCTCGTCAACAACAACAACAACGTGTTCTTCTCCGACCGCCTCGACCGCATGATCGCCTCTGCGCACGACCTTTCCTCGCCCCAGGACACCTCCGATTTCGATTGTCTCGACATCGACTGCCTAAACCTCGACTATATATATGCCCACCCCACACCCATGACCAGCGCTGATTCCTCTCAGAACTGCGGGTATCTTGCTTGTGCAAGGGGGGCTGACCGTAAGGTCAATAGGTATACATCGGGTTTAGATACAGTTGATAGTCCCAATACATGCACGTTCATAGCTACGACTCCTCTTACTATTCCCGCGTCCAATTTCTGGATTCTTAATAGCGGTGCTTCCCGCCATATTACGAACAATTCCTCTCTGTTTTCTCGTTTTAAGCACTGCACTGAGCACATTAGAGCCTGCAAGCAAGGCTCACAACTTGAGATTACTGGGAAAGGCGATGTTAAGTTCGTCGTCACTAATCGCGATGGCTCCCGTCTTATTCTTCAGCTAAGCGACGTCCGTTATGCGCCCGACGCCCGCTGCAACTTACTCTCTGTGTCTTCTTTTATCAATGCCGATCCTGGGTACTACACACTCACCAATCGAAAGGACGGTATGCTGTTGTACCGCGAACACGATGACAGGGAAATTGCTCAGGCCCCGCTGCACGCTAACGCCAATGTCTGTGTTCTAAGTATGACTCGTTCCCCTGACCTCATCGCAGCTGCCGCCGTTGACTTCAACGATCCAGTATGGTCAGAGCATCGTCGCCTAGGGCATCTTTCTCTCCCATACATGCGCCATCTTACCAAGATTAGTGATAGCATGGCTGTTACTGATAAGCAAATTCACGCCAAGCTCAAAGATCAGTGCCCGGTCTGCGCCACTACGCGCGCTCTCTACAGGATTCCTAGAGACCCTGCGGACCGGCATTACGAACATGTTGGCGAACTAGTCACTGTTAACACCTGGGGACCGTATCCCGTTCCTAGTCTCAAAGGCGAACGCTACGCACTTTTCCTCATTAATAACGCCACTCGTTTCACGTAGGTCAGTTTCTTCAAGGTCAAGAGCGAGATTGCTCAGCTCCTTCTGGACACCTTTCGACGCCTCTCCAATAAACATGGTCGTCCTATTGTACGTCTTCGTTGCGACAACGAGTTCGTGCGACAAGCAATCACCGACCACTGCACTGCTCATAGCATCACCATTAAAGCCAGTGTACCCTATGCCCATCATCAGGCTGGCGCTGCCGAACGCTCGCACCGTACAGTGCGGGAGCGTGCTGCCGCGATGATTCAGGATTTTACACCTACCTCTCCCATGGTCCAGGGAATTGTGAACCGGAACGAGGAGACCCTTCGCAATGCTACGCTGCCCGAAGGCCTCTAGATGTTTGCCATAGTTAAGTCAGTTAACAAGAAGAATCGAGCTCCTTCTAAAGCTCTCCGTTTTCTGAAGACACCGTATGAAGCACTCCATAGCAGGAGGCCTAACCTAGCTAGAAACAATGCCTGGGGTGCTCGTGTGTACGTCACTTTTCCTCCGGAGCTCGCAGCGCCACGAACTATCACCAAGCTCCATCATCCCCGTGGTTATCTTGCTCACTTCCTGTGCGCTCTAAGCAACCAGATCTGTCTTGTATAGCAGTCTGACACTCGCGAGGTAAAGCGTGTTACTATCACCCAGGTCGACAACTCTACCGGCTTTAATAATGTGCAGCCTCATAGGCTTCACATCAATAATCGTGCGCCTCTTGTGCCGCCTCCCATCCCAGATGCAGCCTATGACTCCGACAGTTCTTCCCACTCTGAATTATACAACGCTGATGTTGTCTTTGTGTCTTTTGATGGCACGACTGACGTATTTGGTGCGGAAATTAATTGGTCGGAGTCACCTGAACCACCGCGGGTGTATGAGCCTGTTGATGACGATAGAGCATGTGGCCCATGCCTACGTTCCAACTACAAGTGCGCACAATTCTCCGACACCGACGACAATCCGTGTAAACAGTGCGTTAGGAGGAACAGGGATTGCAACTACCAGACCCAGTCTGACCGCGACTGCCTGCGGCGTCGGCAGCAGAAGAATGCGCAACGTAAGGAGAAGCGAAAGCAACTTAAGGCGTCTTCGCTCAGGCAACCAGAGGTATCGCCTTACTTCACCAGCGCCTCCGCTCCTACTTTACCCTCTAGGAACGCTTTACCCATTGCACCCAACACTTCTACTGCCAGTAACGACGTTGTCGTTCCCTCCACCCCTATTCACGCGGCCGGTGATAACACTGTTATCGTCCCCTCCACCCCCATTCACGCGAGCGGCGATAATAACGTTGTCATTCCAGCCACTCCGGCGTACGGTGTGGACGTCGTAATACCGTTAACTCCCGTCCCCAACGACACCGTCTCAGCGACGGGACGAGCACTCGATAAAACTCCCAAGTCAGACAAACACGACGCCATTCGACCAGCCCCGTGCGTCAGATATTTAGACACCAGCGCTAACTGCTCTCGTAAAGACGCGAGCAGCAAATACCGTGGTTATGCTAAGAGCAAGGCGCGCTGCATCTCAAGCACAGCGGAACAACAGCAACAAGCACAAGTTCCATACCGCCCATGTAAGTTGAAAAGCTGTAAAACCAAGTGCATTCGCCAGTCACCTAATGGCCCATGCGATGTCTGCATCTCCACCCATAATCAGCTTAACTGTGTTCCGGTCACTCTCCCAGTCGTTCAACCACTTCCTCGCGAGGAGCGATGTGCCACATGCCAGGAATTACGTGCACAGTATTCCGGTGGACATTCTTCCAGGGACAAAGGTGGTTTATTCGCGGTCCAGTGCGACGGTGCTAATCCATGCAATATATGTATCAACCAACAGCGAACGTGCATCCTCTCTGCGAACAAAGACAACAAGCGATGCCTAGCTTGCATAACGCTAGGCAGGAGTTGTGACCTCGCTATACCCTGCCGTCAATGCACAGAGGCCGCTTCTTCTAGAGTGCTTTCTCAAGATGCACGCGCCCACCCCTATGCTCGATTCAGCGACAATGACACAACATAGACGGCCGAATATTTCAACGGCAAATTAGATAACCTCCCCATCAACGTCTGTACAGCATGTCTCTACTCAGGGCGGGATTGTACAGGCCTTCAAGGTCACCACCCCTGCAGGCAATGTATCTTTCTAGACCACAGGCGGTACAAGGTAAAGGTATGCAGTATGCGCACCGGCCCTAGTACCTACGTCACAAAAGAAATCGCCGCATACTCCATCGACGAAGACGATAAAGACCTCACCATAATCTACGACTCAGAGTACAAGGGCTCTCGTTTGCATAGACACATTAATCTGCCCCGTAACGTCTCTAACGACTTCAATAAAGGCTTGCGTAATAAGGACATGTACAATCTCGCCGGCCTTGCCATGTCTTCCTTGTGTCTGCCTCAGGACTACTCCAACGTCTCCAGTGTAGCACGCCCTAACGATGGTCCTACCCACACCGTGCCCTAGTATCAAGACCTGCCGTTAGACGATAACTTACCTACGCTACATGCCTTTATTTCCACACCAGTTCTGCGAGAACCGCGTTCCTACAAGGAGGCTATAACGACACCTCAAGCGAAAGACTGGCACCAGGCTACCAATACTAAGCTAGATTCTCTCCTTGCCAAAGATGTCTACAAGGTCGTCCCGTTGCCTCACGGCACTAAAGCCATCTCATCCAAATTCGTTTACAAGGCCAAACTTACCCCTACTAGTAACATCGCAAAGTTCAAGGCTCGTGTAGTCGCCCGAGGTTTCCAACAGCAGCCTAGCATCGATTACGATAAGAAGTTCTCCCCAACGGCTAAGTCCACATCCATTCGGACATTGCTCGCCCTGTGTGCGCTCCTTAAGTGGAAGACATCGCAGGTAGATGTCTACGTAGCATTTCTTAATGCTAAACTTAAGGAGCAAGTGTACTATATACCGCCCCCTCCTGTAGTGCTTCCTAAGGGGCATGCTTAGTTACTGAAGAAGTCCCTGTATAGACTTGTCCAGTCTCCCCAGGCGTGGTATCAGATGCTTACCAAGAAGCTAACGGACATCGGTTTTCAAACCTCACCCTACGATCCTTGCGTCTACGTGCACATCACAGACACGATTATCATTTCCGTGCACGTTAATAACATCCGCATCTATGCTCCACATAATAATGTCATTAATCTGTTCAAAGCCCAACTTGCTGCAGCATTTGTTATCACTTCCGAGGATCCAGACGCGCTATACTTAGGAATGCACATTAAGCATACTCACGGCACTATAAAGATTCACCAAGCAGAGTATGTCCGTCGTGTACTAGATCAGTATAACCTTGGCAATCTCCCTATTGCCGATACTCCTTGCGACCATCAGTCGAAGCTTACACGCACTCCTAATAGTGATGGGGATGCCGCCCCATCATTCAAGAAGCGTTACCTCCAGATGTTTAGTTCGCTCAACTATATGCCTGCCATAACTCGTGTCGACCTTGCCTATGCTGCTTCCCTCTACGGACGTTATAACGCAAACCCTTCCCAGAAGCATCTCAACAGCATCACTCGCGCCTACTCCTACGTCAAGGGAACGCGAGATGTTAGCATAACGTATTCCAGACAGGAACCGCGCCTTATCGGGTATGTGGATGCGGACTAGGCGGGATGTGAGGACTCACGTCGCTCTACCACTGGCTACATATTCACGCTAGCCAACAGCCCCGTTTCCTAGGCCTCCGCCAAACAGAAAGTCGTCGCGCAATCCACTTGCGAAGCCGAATACATCGCCCTAGGCAAGGCCGTCAAGGAAGCCATCTAGCTTAAAGACTTCATCAATGACCTAGGCCTTAGCATTCACTTCTCTACTGTCCCAATCCATGTCAACAATCAGTCTGCGATTAAACTTTCTAAGAATCCTAAGTTTCACCACCGTAGTAAACACATTAACATACGCCACCACTTCCTCCAAGACCATATCCAGGATAGTACCATATCAATCAAGTAGATTAGCGGCAAGGACAATCCTGCTAACATGCTTACAAAGCCACTTAATTCAACAAAGTTCAAGGCTGTTTGCCAGACCCTCGGCCTTGTTCCGCAGCATCCTACCCAGCTTGCTCTCAGTGCGTTCACGTGTTCGCCACAGGCCTACATGTCCAACAAGGGCAGGGACATTGCCCTACGGACTGTCTTTCTCCAAGACTCCCGCGAGGATGCCGACCGTATAGACGCTCTTGCCTGCACGCAACCACCCCTACTCTACATGTCCAATATCGACAAGGACATCGCGTTACAGTGTTTCTTCCTCCAGGACTCACACGAAGACGCTGACCGCATAGAGGCTCTCGCCTCTAAGTAGCTCGCTATTAACTCCGGCATAACCCCGGAGTGTGAGGAGGCGTAGAATAAATATGCGAACTTCTATTCGCACCGGACGTACCAGGAGGAGCTTAAGGATCGCAAGGAGAAGAAGCTTATTACTTTATTTAGCAGTGTCTAGACTAACCTGCATTTTGAGCGAACTACGTCGCGCGAAGGCGAAGACAGCTACATATAGTAGCCCTGCTATAGTAAGCAGCTAGGCGATACCTATAACCCCAACGCGGACTACTCTTACCATAGTACGATGCTTTAAGGCAGTCCCGTCCTTAGTGACTAGTTCTTTCTTTTTCTTTTCTCTCTTGTTTTTCGTGTGTTCACCTCATGATAGGTTCCAGGGGGGCTGTTAGTTAGGATCCTATCACGTGATTCACCCACGCTAGCACTAGCGTCGCCCTAGTATTATTTATACAGGGCTTCCTCCCTCTTCTATAGAACAATCACATCTCTTCTTGTTCTACACAAGGTGCGCCGCGACTGCAGTAGATACCCGCGGCCACATTGTATCTCGAGGTACCAGTAATGTTTTCCCAAGTAATGTCGCTGATTTTCAAGCGGCTCGAATCGCAGTTCTGGTAGCTGTAGATACACGGCGAGACGTATATAGGCTGATTGACGTCCTGAAACTTGATGTTGCGGAAGGTGACGTTCTTCACATGGCCTTGGCCAGGGTATGTCTTGATCCAGGCCGCGTTGGAACTATGAATAGCAGTGATGTCTTCGAAGAGCACGTTGTCTACCGTCTCGGGAACGTTCGTGGGATTACCCATTGAGCCAATTACCATGGCGCCAGACTCGTAGCAGGTGGCGTTCTTGACATGGATGTTTTTGCTGTTGCCTTTAACCGATATGCAGTCCTTCGAACAGATTAGGTATAGCACAGACGCGAGATCGATGAGGACTTACATCGCCGCACGTCACGACCCAATTTTTGAGCACAATATCTTGGGAGTTCCAGCTATCGAAGCCATCAGTATTGACGGTGCCCCATTGGGAGGATGAAGTGGCGTTCATGTCAAGGTTTGTCATCGTGATGTTCTGGGAGTAGGCGACGAATGTATGCCTTTTGTGCGGTTAGCAATAGGCTCTGGAACGGGTAACTATGGTCCCTCATGTTGTTGTAGAGACATACCAGAACTGGGACTGCCTCCAAGTAATTCCATCAATCCATACGTTCTTCGCATGCCAGAGTGTCAGACTGATGGGCCTACCGGCCATGTTGCTCCCATCACGGTTCACGTCGTACCACTTCTGCCCATTGCCAAAGAAGAGTGCTTCACCGTGACCTTGCAGAGTGAAGTTCTCACCGCCCAGACGGAATGCTGTACTTCGTTGGGAATATGTCACACTAACGCTGTTGCGGACCCAGTACTGGATATCGTCGCTCCAAGTCAGTTTACCGCGAATGGAGATGTCACAGTTGTTGAGGTCCAGGACGTCCATGACTTTGGCGATGGTATAATCACCTTTCGTGATCTCAATCTGACCGTTCTGGCCACATTGCTTGAAGGCGTCCATGATGAACGGGCTGTCATCCTTGGTGCCGGACGGAGTGACGGTGCAGAGGGTGCCAGTCTTGGTCATACCAGCAAGCGCTGGTACAAGGAGAAGCCAGAGATGAAGTAAAGTGAGCTGAATCATTGTCTCGACTTCGAACAGAGTCCTGTAGAGTAAGGAACAGTGGAGAAAAGCTAAGATACTCAAGCTTTATGAAAGCTTGTACGGTGGGACCGTTGCGCCCCGCAAGTAGGTATCATCCTACAGACTATACGCATGGAGTAATCTGAATAATCCTAACAGCGAGCATGGCTGATACCATTGGTGCAAGTATTCTCTGAGATGGTAGTTTCTCCGTGCAAGTGCCCGTACCACCGGATGTTGTTCGGCTCTTGAGCTCTGAGCAATCTAATAGATGAACAGGCCGGGATATCGCTGTGGGGAGCGAAGAAATGTGTCGGAAAGCTCTACGCTAAGAGCAGATCAAGCTGGGGATGGACTTCTCGATGGCTCATGATTGAGCATCCCAATAAGATCTGGTGTCCGGCCAATGATGAAGACTGGGGTATCAGTAGCCCTTGTGAGATCAAATCCAGAGAACATCTGACGGAGTAAGATAATCCGCAGTTACAGCCTACTGAACGAGGCCTCTAAAGGTGACCCGTGAGAAGACCAGACCGATAAAGCTTGAGTCGTTGTTGAAATCGACTGTTGAGATTGGTACGATGATCATGCTTGGGAAACGAGTATGCGCCACATAAGCAGGGGCGAGACGTCAAATCAAATGAGAGCGGGATATGCGAGAAGGGTCGACTGCATTGTAGATGTGTCGTATACGACCACAAAGTTAGGTTGTGTAGGGAAGGAGAGGATGTAGGAAACGCGGTGTCGGTACCTGGTGCCAAGCCCGCGTCATTGGCTGGTTCCGAGCTTCATCACGGCTCAAAGTCGGCAGCGCCATCTCGACCAGGCAATTGTGCAGCCATTGAGTGTCGCATGGGCTGCCTATCACACCCATGATGATGAACTCCGCCGCAAATATGCGTGCTCTACGCGTACGGCCATCGATACCGCGCTGCCGCCCCTCACATCGCCCGTTCCAGCACCCCAGAAGACAAGCCACGACGGCCACGGAAACCGCGACCAACGTTGGATCGGCTGGTACCCGTACCAAGAACCTCGTATACGGCACGCTCCTGACGCTCGGTGGTACTTTTGGCTACCTCTACGTCACCGATACGCGCGCAAGTATCCACGAATGGCTTGTTGTGCCTGCGCTACGACAAATATACCCAGATGGCGAGGAGGCGCATCATGCTGGAACACATATGCTCAAGGTGCTGCATAGCTTTGGCCTGAATCCTAGGGAACGCGGCGTGGCTGACTCCCAGGGTGATCTGGCTGTCGAAGTCTTTGGACACACGCTGAACAACCCGATTGGAACATCTGCCGGCATTGACAAGGGCGCCGAAATACCGACACCGCTGTTCGAGCTCGGAGCAGGAGTGGTAGAGGTGGGAGCTGTCACGCTGCTGCCACAGGAGGGCAACCCCAAGCCCCGTGTCTTCAGGATACCCAGCCAGAACGCCCTCATCAACCGCTACGGCTTCAACTCGGAAGGCGCCGAGCTGGTCGCCTCACGGCTACGACAACGCGTCAGGGAATTCGCATACCACGCTGGCCTTGGACTAGGTGAAGACGCCGAACGCCAGGTCCTCGACGGTGAAGCTGGCGTTCCACCGGGCTCGCTGCTCAAGGGGCGTCTAATGGCTGTGCAAGTTGCGAAGAACAAGACGACCTCCGAGAACGACATCGATGCTGTAGTACGCGACTATGCCACCGCCGTGGGCCATGTTGGCAAGTACGCCGACATTCTAGTAGTCAACGTCTCCTCGCCCAACACACCTGGTCTTCGCACTCTCCAAAACGTCGAGCCCTTGACGCGGTTGCTCTCCGGAGTAGTAGGCGCCGTCAAGAAGATCGACCGCAAGACAAAGCCTGTTGTTATGGTCAAAGTCAGCCCCGATGAGGACTCGGAAGAGCAGGTGTCAGGCATCTGTGAGGCAGTCTGGGACTCCGGTGTGGATGGTGTCATCGTTGGCAACACCACGAAGAAGCGACCAGACCCACTGCCGAAGGGCTACCTACTTCCCCAATCAGAAGCAAAGTTGCTTCTCGAACAGGGAGGCTACTCAGGTCCCCAGACTTTCGAGCGCACACTTTCGCTTGTCAGCAGGTACAGGAAAGCGCTCGACGAAGGCCCAAAGCACATTGCACCACCGTCAGAAGCACACACCGACGAGCCAACCGCTGGCCAGAGCACAGACGACAAGCCCTCTACCGGGTCTTCCAAAACCAAGCCAACGCTCGATCTCGACCAACCGTCTCCAACACAACTTTCTTCCAACGTCGACGATCTTTCCGAATCAGCACCTACAATGACCCTTCACTCTACACCCAGGACTGCGCCAGCACCAAACGCACCACGCAAGATTATATTCGCAACGGGCGGCATCACAAATGGTCGGCAGGCGAGAGAGATCCTCGATGCGGGAGCGAGTGTGGCACAGGTATACACTGCTATGATCTATGGCGGTGCAGGCATAATCAGCAAGATCAAGCAGGAGATGAGGGATGATGCAAAGGAGCAGAAGACGATCACCAAGCGGTAGCCAGAAGAAGCGTGGGTAGGCATTGTATGTATACACTGTCTTTTCTAAATGCATTACTCACTTCGTGAGAGCAGCCTTCACTCTACGAGCCAAATATGCAGTGGCTCACTCGTGACGCAAACATGTCCACCAATTCAAGACGCCGCTGGCTGACTCTCATTCGCCAGCCAGTCTACTACCTCTATCCCTAATTTCATGAAATCCAGCGGCACAGGAGGAACTACAATCTTCCCGTTAAGCACTAGCCTCAGTAGAAGCTTGATACTGCCGCACGATTTGAGTTCTGCACGTAAGCCCTGTCGCTTTGCTTCGCTCGCAATCAAGATGGTTACCATGGCACCATCAGTAAGACAGAAGTGGCTCTCCTTCATCTTGTGTCTTGCACGTAGTGCAAAAGATGCCTGACTTTCACACTGCTTAAGAACTTGCGCGTCTATTGGAACACCCGCATCAACCAGGTGGCGGGTCATAAGGAAGTGGGTCGTTGACCTGTCTGCAAAAGTTTTCATACCTTCGACGAGATGTTGTGATCTGATACGGGCGCCGTGGCTTCTGAGGACATCGACCAACTTTCGATGTCCGTAACGAGCTGCTTCCAGCGATGTTTGTTGAATTAGGTGATTTCGATTTAAAAGCACGAAATCGCCACCAAGTATGCGGCATACGAGTTCGGAATGTCCAGCTTCGCAAGCTTCTTTTAACGCGTACTGCAAATCGCTGTGGTGATCCGCTGGAGTGCGTTTCGGGATATCGTCCTTCAAAATCGTTACGAGGGTTTCGGTTTTGCCGTTTTGTGCTCCATCGATAATCAACTTTTTCCAAATCTCCGGGATTCGGGCTTTACGGCGAGTGACGAAGAATTCTAGTAGCATTCGTACTGGTTCCGTGTCTCCAGCTTTCATGGCATGACACACCGCCGTCTCGAACGTGACGAGAATCCAGTCACGTTCCCGCGCTCCAAGAGTCGGGAAATCCTGTCTCGCAATCTCTACAAGCTTGCGAACCATTGAAGTGTGGCCACATACTGCAGCTGCTTTGATTGGGCCAGTGAGTATGCCAGAAGTGTACCCCAGAGGGTCCGCCCCTTGTGCTATGAAATGATCGACAGCTTCGATATTTCCCACAGCAGCCGCCGCGGTCAAAAGATCTACCGAGGTTATCGGCGTTGCAGAGTGCTTCAAATCTTTCCTTCGATCGTTATCCATGGTATCTGGAATATTTGTCGGAACCATCTCGCAGTATTTCCATGCCTGGTCTTAGGACGCTATAGGTGAGACATATATCACTAAGATAGGCCTTGCGCACAGTAGTGTCAATGACATCGTTTGTGGGGTTCGCAAATCGCATCATCTCGTCAGTAAGTTTGTCTGTTGTCGATATTCCGTCAGCAATTTGGACTCGACTTTTCGCCTAAAACATTTTCTCACTTACTGAGGCACTTGGTCAAGTCCCGGTTCATACTACGATTGCGCATACAATGATTCATGTGCAAAGTATGCGAATTCTTTCGGAGGAAAGTTGGTGGTCCGTTATCATGACGGTCATCAACTTCCGGCTCGAAGTTGCGGAGATATATCTCGTAGATCTTTGCCGGAGTTTGCGCCAACAGTACGTGGTCGATCGCATTTCGAAACGTCCTTGAAGACGCATTAGTCGCGAACAAACAATGCCGATGCAAATTGAAGAATTAATATGAACTTGCTCGGATCTCTATCGAAGCAATCGAGTAACTACTTACGAGACACGGCGCGAGCACGAAAGCTCTCGTGGAGCGGGACGGTATCGACGTACACTTTCAGGATTGGGTCGAAGAGCTCCGCAGGTAGGGTTTGGATTAACGTCATGGCGAAGGTAGCACGATATACTTCGACTGTGTCGTGTTTGATAGCTACCTGTGTCTTGCTACGACATAGGAAGCGGGGAAGGGGCTTGTTGGATTCTTATCGATGAAACTTGCAGGGTTCGGAACACCTCGCACGTCCCTAGGTAAACAAAGGGTCCCTTGGTGAGGTAAGCGAGACGCGACCATGGGCGAGATCTTTTTGTATGCGCGCTTGTCTCGTAATAATCCAATTGCAATAACTTTAAGGGGTACTTTAGGTAGTTAGGTAAGTAATGACTCTAACTTGCTGACGAATGCTGCGCTGGTACGTCTCCATGTAGATCCGAGCTCGTCACGGTCACTCGATTTGCAATGCAACGGCTTAACTCTCATCAAATTTCAGATAGAATTTAGCGCTCTTCCATCCCGCTAGATCTCTTGATGTCAATTATGATGGGAGATAATGCATGCCGAGGTGAGCCGTCACCTCTTCACGATGACGTCAGACATCATCACATCGTCTACCTCTGTGCACGTCCCCTAAGAAGCTGGCGATAGATGGGCGGCCCAATTCGATCGCGATGCAAAATCAACACCTTCATTCCAGACTGATGTCAGCGCTCTTGATACCACCATGGATACACATGCGAGACCTGTGACCCCAGAGAGTACAACGCGTCCAGACACAACGGATGCCGCATCGCCGCAGCGTTACGTGCCTTCCATCTACCGCTCCGGAACTGTTCAGCAAACTGGTCGACTACATCCTAGTCAAGTGAGAGAAATCCTGGAATCTCTCGATACCTGCGATCAGCGTATTCAACATCGCCCATATGATCCTCAAGCCTGGTTCGAGCGTGGCCGTCGCATGTGGATGCTCAACTTCCCTGAGCTCGCAGTCGGCGACATGTACAAAGCCAAACTACTGCAAGCAGGCGATCCGGATGCCAATAAAGATCTCAGAGAATCGGTGTATGAACTGCTCGCAGTTGCTCTTCAAGCTTGTCATTGTCAATGGGACGCAGCCGGGATGCTGGAAGAGTCGATAATGCACGCTCGGCCCTTGTGGTGTGAGAAGGCTACAGAGAGAGCTGAAGTCCTGCGCGCGTTTCTGAAGCGAAAAGAGGAGGCTGCAAGGGCTCTTAGCGGCACACCTCATGAGGTGCAAGATAGAGTAAGAGATGGCGGAGTGCTTACAGTAGAATATCCATGGACCATTGAGCGCCATCTGACGCGTTCATCAGGGCTCATTGAGTTGGTAAACGAGGAGCTCAGTGAGACTGGCAACGACGCACCATGTTTTCTTGGTAGAAGTACCTTGGCAAAAGACCCAGGCGAAGACATGTTGGGTATGTTTGCGGCTCGCGACATAAGGGCCGGCGAATGTATACTTACAGATCGTACCGCAACCGGTGTATGCAGCACCCCGCCATCAAATTCCTGTTCCAATTGCTATGCGCGTTTACCGGATGCTCCAAAGGGAGCCACGTGCTGTTCCGATAGCTACTGCTCTGACGAATGTCTCCGCCTTGCGATGAAAACCTGCCATAGAGTTTTATGCGGTAAAGACTTTGAATGGCTCCAGGCACCCGCTAGAGGCTTGACGCACAACGCCTCACCTCTCCGACCTCTCCTCATGTTACGATTGCTGGCAACATGCGTTCAAGCTGGTGTTGAAAAGTCACCGTTAGATCACCCGCTGATTGCGCGTCTCAAGCCTCTAGCCAACAAAGATCATCTTGATGTCTTCACCCTGAATGAGTCCATCATCATCCCAATCAAGATCTTAGAGCAACTCGATGTAGATGTCTTCGCAAACCGCAACTTCGATACTGAGGTTCTTCATTCCATCTGGACGCGTCTAGCCAACAACAAAGCTGGTTCTTTGGACCACCGGCTTGGCTTCGTTGATGAAATCACACCTCATCTGCCGTTGTTCAATCACAGCTGCGCACCGAACGTGGAGTGGAGAAGAGAAAATGGGAGTACGACTGTGCGCTTTCTCGCAATCAAGCCAGTGACTATGGGAGATGAATTGTTCTGCAGCTATGTAAACGTTGGTGGTGTACGAGTGGAGCAGAGGCAGGACTTGCTGTCGCCGTGGTTTGAAGGGCCGTGTTTGTGTTCCAGATGCACAGAGGAGATGGCCTAGGTGTGTTTTCGGATGATTACCACGTCATACGCAGATGTAGATGGGCAGTGCATAGTGATGATTGTAAGACGGACGACTAGTCTAATTCCCCAACTGACGTCTATCAATGAAACAGCTGTAATCTCCCTTCATGGGGCCTTGAATCCATGAGCCGTGACCGTGACATTTGCGTAGAGCTTTCTTCGTCCAACATATCTTTGAAGGCTCCGAGATCACTTCTTCACGTTCTTGTCAGGCCACGTGAAGTTGCTGGCATCGCCACGCTTCAACGCTTCCACACCTGGCGGAACGCTGGGCTGCCGTGTAGGATGCACTTTGTCATCCATGTCACTTCCCTTCTTTGCGGTGCCTTGTCCCAGCCCTCTTAATACACTCTTACCGAATCTTGCGCCCTCGCTCTTCCGCTTGTAGACGTCGGGCATGGAGTTCACGTCTTGAGGCTTGGGTAGCTCCAATTCGGGCGGCTTAGGCTTCTCTGCACCCTTCTCTGCAACCTTGTCAAGTGTCTCTATCAGCTTCTTCCCGTTACCCGTCTTGTCTTGATATTCCCGGGCGAGTGAAAAGTCGTCTTCTTTGAACAGCAACACCGCGTTGTTGGGTTCGAGGGCGAAGATGCCCCTCTTTGTGAGCGCTGCGAGGGCCCTATCTCCCATGTAGGCGTCTTGGAAGATATCGGCAGTGATGGCTAGCTTGATGATGTTTGACCAAGAATGTTCGATGGCCAGCGAGTCGACGGTTGTGAACTGCGATTTGAGATATAATTTCACCATGAAGAGGTCGGGGAGGGAGAGATGCAAGTGTCGTTGTGATGGCTCGAGAGTGCAGACATGATTCAGGAGTTTAGAAGACCTGGGCATGTCGGCGATGAAGATGTGGTGACGAGTCTCTCGATGGGTACCAAGTAGGATCGTGATACGGTCGTGGTAGACGACTCCGGCTTCGTGCGCTGTTACAAAATCCCAGTCTTCGTCGGCTCCATCGGGCGTGCCATTGTCATCTGCGCGTGGCAAGGTGCCTGTATCGACAGGCGTCGCATTCTTCAGGCTACCGAACAAGTTGGTGATGAAAGGCATTGCGCTATGTCGTCGCCAAAGGTTGCGCCGGCTGGCGAGGGTCGGTTATGGACAGATACAGCGAACGGTTGGGAGGGTTAGTAGAGTTGAAATATGGAAGGGCTGTAGGCGCTGGGCGCAGTTGACGACAAGGCGCACTGCCTGGTCCAGGTGGCGCGTTTCGACGCGCGGGAGAGTGCACGATACAATGGGTGGGGTGTCACTTTCACGGGTCCAGTGGAACCCAAGGAATCGCAACGTATTGTGAACCACACTTTTGGAAGCCTATCACAGGGTGTCCTCTCCTCAGCACTTTCGAAACCACCCTATCTCGGGATGTATACGCGCAACGGCTCTCTCGGAGCGACATTTCACCGTTTGAAGCCTCGGAATGTACGTCGCGTCACAGTTTCAAACACAACGAAAGATATCATTTGGAGACAGCGTTTCCTTAGCCTGCCAACGATTTGTGAATTTATATGTACAAGTCCAGCGCGGTATGCAAGTCTATTTCGTCTCGTGTTCGGGCGTGATTGCAAAGGTAGGGCGAACGAATCTGCCATGGTGAATTAGCCAAAGTTGTCTACAAAGCCAAGTCTTCAAACCATACCTGTCGCTGTTGTAGACCCTGGTCTCTGTGCCAAGTAGCTCCTTCTCTCTCGCTTTATCTGCGAGGTGCCTTCGTACTTGATCGCGGTCTTCTTCGGCTTGCAGCGCGGGGATGAGGTGTATCCGCGCCCACATCTTCTCGCGCGCGAGTTCGCTGCGACTTGTCAGCACTTTCGCTCATATATCTCCAGACTCGGAAGTCTCCTCCCGACGGCAGGCGCGTACTTGTGCTCTCTGATACCCTGTCCGACTCTCCAGAATCCGTAGGTCATGAGTGCCGCGGTTCCGAAGAGGTATGCGGCGGGGCGGAAGCCTCGTACGGGCAGGTTGCGCTTGTATTGTACGGGGCTGTAGCCGCCCGATGGCGGCATATCCTGCGGCATGTTGGGCGATTATTCGTGGCTCAATGGGTATTCGAAGTTGTCGTCGATGCGGAGACGTGCAGTGAGGTTCGAGCTCGGGAACCCGCGATGACAGGGATCTGGCTTGGCGCGCTAGCAAGTGAGTGAGCATAATTTTGTCGACGCTGAGTGGGTGGGAGGCATCACCCTTGACTTTCACGAACCGACGAAACCTCATTCGAAGATGGATTCCGAAGAGCGTCCTGCGAAGTTGCGCAAGCTAGAGCATGCGGATAGCGTTGAGGATGTGGCAGAAACACCTGCAATTCCGACACCAAACGAACAACTACCTGTCGCAGCGGAAAACAGCAATCAAGCCGACGCCGTAGAATCTGTCGGAACACCGGCTGGGAGTGAGAATGCGGAGCCAAAGTTATCGAAAAACCAGCTCAAAAAGCAAAGGCGGCTCGAACGCTGGGAAGCCGGTCGCGAAGATCGCAAACTCAAGCGAAAAGAGAAAGTCAAAGAGAAGAAAGAGCGAAGGCGAGAAGAGTGGGCGCAGATGCCTACCGACGAGAACGGCAAGAGACCAAGGCCGCCAGCTTCGCGACCTCCTCGGCAGGCAACTGGAAAACAAGTACCAATAACAGTAATCTTCGACTGCGATTTCGAAGAGCTGATGTTTGACAACGAGCTCAAGAGCTTGGGACTTCAGATTACGAGGTGTTACAGCGATAACCGAAAGGCGAACTTCAGGACCCATCTAGCTTTGAGCAGCTTCGGTGGAAAGATGAAGGAGCGATTCGATGGCATTCTAGCAAAGCAGTACACGAGTTGGAAGGGGTTCCAGTTCTTCGAAGAAGATTTCGTTGAGGTTTCCGAAAAAGCGAAGGCGTGGATGTCAGGGCCAAACGGGGGAGAAGTTCTCGGCGCCTTGAAGACATCAGCAGAAGCCACTGGATCAGGCGATCAAGAACAACCTGATGCTGCAGCAGAGGAAGGCGAAGTCGTCTATCTTTCATCTGAGTCTGACAACGTTCTAACTCACTTGAAGCCCAACAGTACATACATTATCGGTGGACTGGTTGACAAGAACCGACACAAAGGCATATGTCACAAGCGCGCCGTGAACCGTGGGATCAAGACTGCAAAGCTACCTATTGGCGAATACCTTGAGATGAAAAGCCGGCAAGTATTGGTCACGAACCATGTGCTAGAGATTATGCTCAAGTGGATGGAGTTTGGGGATTGGGGCAAGGCGTTCATGGCGGTCATGCCCGAAAGAAAGGGTGCTAAGCTTAAGAGCGACGGAGACGACGGGGAAGAAGACGCAGATGCTGCGGGAAATGAGCATTTGGATCGAGACCTCGCAGAAGCGACAAAGGAGGCAGACGCCGAGACTACATAGACCGTCTGGAGCTTCATTTTGAGAGTGTAGAGATGCCGACACTAGTAGCATTCAATCAAGAATGGAACTCTCGCTACTTTCTCGAGCCGATGCATGCCATGAGAAATGCGACTCTGGGTCGCGGGGATGACACATGTTAACTATCACGGCGCAGAGATACCACCGCCAGGACCGAGCATTACTATCTGAACCACAAACATCCTCGAGTTTTCGACTGACAATGGGGATCCTGGCTTGAATGCACGATGAATACGCGAGGTCAGCCCTACCGGGTAGCGGAGATCAAGCTTTCGCGCGACACGCTAGCAAGCTAAAGCGGTCAGGGCTCCGCAAGCTACACGTCGCGGAGCCAGAGGGTGAAGCAATCACAGAGCATACATCGCCGACATGTCCTGTATTAGTATGCGCTCATCAGAGCCTTCGGATATGCATTCACCGCAACCACAGGCCTGCTTATGTAACAGCCACGTCCCATCCTGGTGGTGTTGTGAGGCTCCAAGCAGCTGTCAGCCCACTAATTTTGCGCAACGTCACAGCTACTCTGCCCTGCGACAGCCCCAGCACACCACCTCCAACACGCGACCCACATTAATTCAGGAACATTACTCCCATCGCAATTAGTTGCCGCTCATGTCGTACCCACCAGATACCCCGTCCTCTTCCCCGTTCCGCTCGCCTTCGTCGCAAACCTCACCGCCATCGCAGCGCTCTACACCCAACCGCTCGTCCTCATATTTCACCTATCCCGTCTCTTATGCAGTCTCGGGCATCCTGCGACGCTTGAACACGGACGCCATTCCCAAATCAGACGCGCAATCGAGATCGGAGAACAACAGCAACCGTAACAGCGCAAGCAACATACAAGCCCAGTTGCAGTCCACCGCATCTTCACTTTCACACACATTTGCGAACCTTGTCTCCTCCACCACATCAGATATGAATTCGGTCTACCAGCCGCCACATCGGATAGCGAGCCCTTTCCAACCGCCTCCCTTGACACCGCTAAGTCTGAGAGGATGGGGAGGCAACATGCGAGAGAAGGGCAAGCTTCTAAGCACGGCGCTTGCTGAAGAGATCCGGCTCCTGCTTCCACCAAGGTTACAACTAGTGGATGAGTGGAGTCTGGCATATAGTCTGGAACAGAACGGTGTCAGCTTAGGCACACTATACAAGCAATCTGAAGACTATCTGGGCAAGAGAGGTGGCTTTGTACTAGTGGTCAAAGACGGCAGCGGAGGTGTAAGTTTGCGAACGTCAGGACAACCCCAGGGCGAATGCTTACGTAGCGCTATAGATCTTCGGCGCATATCTCTCCGACGCACCGCGGCCCTCCACATCATTTTACGGCAACGGCGAATGCTTCCTCTGGCGCGCGCACATACTCTCAGGTTTCTCAGACCTGCAGATGAACCTCCCACCACCCCCATCCGAAGATACGACGGACGCTGTGCGAATGACAACCATATCTTCACCGAAGAGGAAGGGCGATTCGCTAGCACCCCCACAGAACGGTCGGGCCAGTAAGAGTGGTGCGAGCACGCCAGAACGAATAAGATTCAAGGCATTCCCCTACAGCGGGGTGAATGACTATATGATCTTTTGCGAGCATAGCTACCTGAGTGTTGGCGGCGGGTAAGTAGCAGCGTGTTGTTATCATTAAGGACTCAGTGGACTGACGGTGTCGCAGTGACGGTCACTATGGCCTATGGCTAGACGACAACCTCGAAAAGGGCGTCTCCGATACGTGCCCGACGTTTGGCAACGAGCCCCTTAGTGACGATGGCAAGAAATTCGAGGTCATGGGCGTTGAGCTGTGGTACATTGGCGTATAGGACCAGATCGTCTACGGCCTTTCGCTGAGCAGAAAACGCGTAATATTCGGCACTGGCGGCATTTCGACGGCGTTGGAAGACGGCGTGGAATTTGGCTATGACAAAGCTACATAGCTTATGATGTATACCGTGTCTGGAGTCACCAGCAGAGGACGGTGATGAGCAGAATACCCATTTGAAGAGTTTGTTTTACGCTTTTCATCCTTTCGATCGGCGCCATGGAGTATCATGTCTCACATCAATTGATGTCTTTGTCATCCGGCTGGGCTTTCTCGACCACGTCGGCTGATCCATTCACACACAAGAGATATACAATTCTTCGCGGGCACGCCAGCCTAGGACAAATATACAAAATCAGAGCCTGCGTAAAAGTTAGGTCACCTGCTTTGCAAGTTCTTGTATTAATGTAGTCTGCAGACCTGTTCAGTTTTTTTCTTGTATAAGGTGCAGGTACGACTATAACGTTCGCTCTATTCGGAAAACGTATTGGCTGCCTTCAAAACGACTGTCATGCTCGCCTTGCTCGGATACTGGAATGCTTCTTGGCGGTTCTCTCACCTTGAGGTACCGTCACCGCTCCATGACGAGGTGCGCACGGCCCGGCTCTCACCCTCTCGTGTCTGCAGTACTTCTATCTAGGTCGTGTCTTCCGTGCCCTTCAGCTTACAACATTCTCATTCTACAAGATCACCATTTGTGCAGATGACCATCACTAAATCTCGAGGAGCGACCAAGAAGTTGGGGCCCATTATGTACGTCACTCCGTCCCTCTTATACCACATGTAACTTGCTGATATGGCGCAGTGTGGGCAACAGAATCATAAGCTTCAAGGCCCCCAATATTGATCGCCGCTTCACTGTACATGAAGGTAACAACACATAAAGCCATTTCAGGAGTCCAACATACTAACACCATTCGTTTACCGTAGACCTCATCTGCAACACCTCTCGATTCTTCAAAGACCGCCTCCAGAGAAACCGAAAGCCCATCTTCAGCATTGATGAATGTTGCGTCTGCGCTGAGACTCTCAACGCTATGATAGGAGACATCTCCTTCTGCTCCAAGTGCGGGCAAAATGTCCACGAAGTCTGCATGGAAGCCTGGAAGCGCTCATCGACTACCAGTCTCAAGAAGGAGTCAATCCCGACCTGTCCGATGTGTCGTGCGAGCTGGAAGAACGAGTCACTACCCAAGGAGCTAGACCTAGAGTCTGAGCTAGACGCTGAGGCTACGCAAATCTACCTGGACTGGCTGTATACCTCCACTTTACACATATCCGCAAAGGTCTCTCGCATTAACGATGCCTTCAATCTTGTCATCCTCAAACTCTGGACTGTTGCCAACGCCGTTGAAGATCCAGTGTTCAAGTCGCAAGTCATTGCCACTTACTTCGCAGAAGCTCGCGCGCGTTTCTGGAAAGAGAGCGTGAAGTGGGCTTTCGTGGAGCGTAAGTGCGATGACGAAATTCGAGCTTTCGTCATCGACATATCGCTTGCCTATATCGAGCCCGGTTGGTTCAAGAGCGAGGGCAAGAACTGGCCAGAGGCCTTCGTGAGTGAGCTAGCAGATGCAGCCATGGTCCGGTGGGGAGACAGGAAAGATGGCAGAGCGACAAGGAAGATGTGGATGGAGAAGCTGAGCGTAGAAGTGGATCTGACGAGCGATGACGAAGATACTGCGCCTGTAGGCGGCAGCACGAGTTTAGCGTCGGCAGCACCGCGAAGTCTGCAAGGCAAGCATCCAGCTGTTGGTCTAAATAGTCCTAAAGCTGGAGCTACAGAAGTCCCAGCAACCAGGAAGCGTCCAGGTCAAAAGGTCGAAGTGAAGAAGCATACACATAGCGCGAAGCGTCGGCTGAAGCAAGATGTCCGCTCCATGCCTCTTTCCGATGACTCGGACGACGGTGGACTGGTTGTATACAGGTCGAAAGGATGAGCGTTCGTGACGGCACTGGGAGTCTCCTGTCTTCTTGTCTTCCATTCTGATGTCTTGCACCTGACAATTGGGCCTTACACTACCCGAACACGGTATACGATTTTTGTTGCTTGTTTACGCCCAATCAAGTCTTATTAGCTCGAAACGAAGACAATCGAACGACTGTGTGCACCACATCTTTACCCCGACCCATCATTCGGTATTGTGTTGACCTCCACTAACGTGAATCACCACAGGCTTCACTTTGAGAACACTTGGTGCCTCAGCTCATCAAGTTTCCAGGGCCCGAGAGCAATCCTACCCGTTGCGCGTTGCGCACGGATCTGCATCTACCGAAGCAACATAGTGCAACTGAACGATAGAATATCACTCACCCATAGGTACTAGCCTAATCGGCTTGCCAACCAATGCTCACAACTCGACCAGAGAACCGCCCAAGAACGACCTTATCAAGCCATCGCGCCTTTCAAGTAGCGGGAGATGCCAGGACCAGGAAAGATGCCCAAGCAGGAGAAGCGCATCAGCGTTAGGAAGAAGCGAGCCATCCGGTACGTTTCCTGTGAGGATTGTAACACCAACCGCTAACTCGCTCCTAGGTTCGGCCACAAAATCGTCCGCGTCCAAGTTTCACGCGGCGAGGAGTTCACTGTCCCCGAAGACATCATATGCAGCAGATCCACATTCTTCACGAAAAAGCTACAGCCGAAGCGCAAGCCTCTCAAGAAAGACAGTGAATGCGCGATCTGTACGGAACTGCTCGAGCACGGTATACAAGAGCTTACTTACTGCGCTACTCGTTGTGGTAACAACTTTCATCATAAATGCATTGAGAAGTGGAAGGCGGAGAAGCAGACAGCTCGTCAACCAGTCAACTGTCCTTTCTGTCGTCACAGCTGGTCGAATGACACCGACGTCATCACAGTACATAAGTTTCCCGCCATTGACGCCGATGCCTTCGCAATCTTTCTTGAGTGGCTTTACCATGATCATATCGCGGTTGAAGATCGGGCGGACGAAGATGGCAAAATCTCTCTTGACACACATGAACTTGTTAAGGCATACGTTTTAGGGCTCAAACTAAAGAGCAAGAAGTTCTGTCGAGACGTTATAAAGGGATTGGTCGAAGTTAGTAAAGATATTGATGAATATCCGGGTCCGGACAGTATCCGCCTCGCTTACGATAAGACAGCCAAAGGATCATCACTAAGGTTGGTCTTGGTACAACTATGGGCAGACACAGCGGATGCTGCTTGGATTGAGGACGATGAAACAGATGATTATCCCGCAGAGTTCTTGAAGGACTTGACAACGGCTCTTTTGAGGAAGTATCGTGGTAAACAGAAGTGGGATCTAGATATGATTATAAAAGGTCAAACCATGGAGGACTCTATCTTAGTTGACGACTCAGATGAGGATAAGTCGCGTGAAGACGAGGATCAGGTAATGGGGGACGGAGAATAGGAGAATGATGAAAAGCTATATCAGTGAGTACAGGACACTTACAGCATTTCACACTACCCGATATTTGGTACTGTGGCTGGTAGAAACATCAGTGGAAGCAATGCATTAGTAAGCACGACTTTCGACTGCTAGGCATACGGCGTTCATGGTAACTTCATGGAATAACGATGTAGTGAACCACTTCTCCTTCTCATGCAAGTTGCAGTACGATGGCTTCAAGATCGCTGAACTACTTGAGCATTCTCGGTAACCGTAGCGTGTACTCCATCAACGTTAGCCCCACTTGCAGCTTTTTTCGCCTCCTCCTCTTCACCCACTTCGACAAGAGAGTCATCCTATGTCTTCCTGTCGATATCTACCGCCTCAGTATGAGTTGGCGACTCCTCCTTAGCAAGTACACCACCATCTGTGTGCTGCATTTGACGCTCAGGATCATTCGCATGCGCATTCTCAATACCGATTTCGGCTGTTGAGAACTTATCTGCGACATTACGGTAGGCTGGCACAAAGTTGACACAGAAAGCATAGCTCCACGCCGCAACGAAGAACGCCATTGGAACGGTCATGGCGATAGCGGTGGGCGCATATCCATCCAGAGGCCTAGCCTTCCCTAGCGTATCACTCGCTCCGAACAGTAGTGGAGGGACGACAGCACCACCAGATACACCGGCCACGATGAAGCCCGAGCCTCTCTTTGAGTATTTGCCCAGTCCGCGCATACCAAGCGCAACAATCGTCGGGAAGATAATACTCTCAAAGAAGAGTACAATGTAAAGCATGCTCATGCCGGTATTGCCTCGCTCGGTAATGGACGGGATGATGAAGATGATACATAACGTCATGAACGCGAGGAACACCCATCGTGGTTTGACGAACTTCATGAAGGCGCTGCCAATGAAGCGACCCATGGTAAAACAGCCCTGAGCACCAGCCAGGAACCGAGCTGCTGTCGAGTTGTCGGTCTCGCGTCCATTTATGACCCGTGTCTCGACGACATAGTTGATGAAGGCTCCAGCTATCGCCACCTGCGCGCCAGTGTAGCAAAATTGAGCAAATGTCGCATGGAAGAGACGGTATTGTTTGCGGAAAGGCTTTACGTCGGTGCCAGCGTGAGTGCTTTCAGCTTGGAAAGCCATATCGGCATCTAGTGGATGTTAGTAGCTGGTCATTTTCCATTAAACAGCAAGCTCACCAGTGATCTCGGGTATCTCCGTGAAGTAATAAACGATCGCAAGGAGGAAGACAAAGCATGCAATGCCGAGGTAAGTCCATTGCACGTTCTCAAGGGATGCTTGATCGGTGCCAACGTTGTTGAAGAACACATATGACCCTAGAACTGGCGCTACCACAGTTCCGATGCCGTTGAAAGCCTGAGCGATGTTGATCCTGATTTCCGAATACTTGGGGGGTCCGCAAACTGCTTTCGTTAGCACTGTACCCGGCACTTCATCGACTCATACGCACCGGCCAGGTAAGGGTTGGCTGCTGTCTCTAGCGAGCCAAGTCCATTACCGATGACGAAGATGGCTACACAAAAGCCTCCGAACGAACGGTATACAAGACATGGCCAGGCAAGAAGAGAGCCCACGCCGTAAAGTGTCAG